ATACAAAACACCTTGAAAAGTTATCCTTGTAACTTGTAAGTGTTACATGTTCGGCTATTAGTCATAATTGAACTTATTCAATACTACCCAGTAATTTAAATCTTCGCTTTTATCATGTATTTCAGATCCTACCGTTTAAGTCAATTTTACAATTTAAATTTTATCTCAAGTTCTATGTTACGTGAAATCTCGATTTTCGGCTGCATTGCCCATCACTACGACATAGTACTAAGTGGTAGGCAAAATCCCTGTGAATGTTGTTTGCTTTCTCCATGAATATGTTTCATGTTCTAACTTCTTTTTGATACACGATATCACCTTGAAGAATTGTTCTTCTAAACACGTAGTTAAGAGACTTTTTAACCAAGATTTCTGCTTGGGGGAAAGAATTGGAAAACAATCTAATAAGTCAGCAGGAATTGCCTAGCAATTGAACGTTGACCTGTGTGGAGCCATGGAGTAAAGTGATGTCCCTTTCCATGGATAATGGACAAGAATCAATCAAACGAGAAATTATTGCATACACCGGGAGTACCACGTTGGATTAGTGATGTGGTACTCCCAGCCAATAGCTGATCGCCACATGTCTAAAAAGCTCCATTAACTCATTTTTAGGTGGAAACGTATTTGTTCAGAGTTTTAATTCCTTTTCTGTAAATTTCTTTTTAAGGAAAAAAATTAATATACAATTATACATCGTCGTTTCATCTCCCAAAAGGCCAAAATTCAATCGAACTCTTTCGCCGGCAGCCGTCGCCTTCTCCTGCTCCCAATCGAACTCTTCCGCCGATAGCCGTCGCCTTCTCCTGCTTCTGAAAGTCACAAAATCCGAATTCCTTCTTCTGCTATTGTTGGCCGTCTTCTTTTACTACTGAGACTCTTCACCCAGCGCCAATATCACCCATAAGCCCGTTCGCCGGGACTCCTAATACGCCGCAAATAGAGAACAGGGTCTGACCCCCTAAAGCCGCCGACCAAGTAGCAGCAATCGAAGTCATTGATGTGCTTGAGAGGAGCTCGTCTCACTATTCTGCAAAAGAAAAGAACAAGGAAGATGAAGATGAAAAAGTTTTGAAAGTGGTCAATTAATTAAGAGAAAAGGAATAAAAGCTCTGCTAAAACACGTTTCCACCTAAAAAGTAGTTAATGAAATTTTTGGGACATGTGGCGATCAGCTATTGGATGGGAGCACCACGTGGGATTGGTGACGTGGTACTCTCGGTGTATGCAATAATTTCTCCAAACAAACAAGGCTTCCTCCTCATGGAAAATTATGTGAGGTTGAAACCCGTTGACTTCCGCAAAAGTCAAGCCTAGTAATTAAAACTACCAGATTTAATACCAAGGGTGGGTGTGGTTTGGGTTTGTGGCTGGAAGTTTTATTTTGAGGCGGCTTTGAAGGTAAAGGACTTACTAAATTAAAAGCTTCGTCGATCGGTTGAACCCACATTCAAGAAATTTGGGCTATTTCTACCAACAACAACATAAAAAAGGGTCTGGCAACTTCATAACTGGACTTACATTCTATTTTTTTTACTAGTTAGGGGTCCGACCAGTTGGCCGAGTTCATTTGCCAATCACGTAGACAACAATAACTATTTGTATGCGAGATACATGTTTCTTTGGTAGTATGAGAAAATTTGATTTGTCCAAATACTTAAAATATTCAAATTAATTGGTAGCAAAGAGAATCAAAATTATTTTAGTAATTCAACCATTTAAAAGGATCAACATCATAATGTTTCCCGACACTCTAACTGACTCATCGACTAAAATATCTTTATGAAAAATGAAAGAAAAAAATCATGAAAGGGATTCGGCTCTTAATTCAAATCGCCCTTTTGTCTACGCATCGTCAGAGATTACTGTAACTTTTCTTTTTGTATATCATCAATAATAATATCTCCACCAATAATAATATCTTCGTTTGAAATATGTTCCTTCACTGTAATTGAAATAGAGATCACCATAAACATGATTCACAATATCAACAATGTCATCTCCTTCAAGCAGAATGCTCAAAGAAGTTGGAGTTGAGATAATTGACTCCCCACAAACACTGGATCCCACTCCATCACCTATATGCAAAATCCATTTGTTGAATTCTTCAATCTAAATAACTTCTTCAAGCCTACAAATTTTCAGGCAGAATCTCATGTTTTGAGAGTGATAAATACAATCTTTTGACAAAAGAATTTACAATATCTGCTCGGAGTTCCTTAGTAATTATTGGTAAAGTTTGACAAAAATCTCCATCGAACACAACATACATTCCCCCAATGATCATGTCTTGTCTATTTGGTTGTTTCACTTGCAAAAAGTCTTGAGATTTCTATCTGGTGCTTCAATATTATGCTTATGAGCCATAGGAGCTTCATCCCAAATAATAAGGGGAACTTTTTGAATCAGTTACGCTAACTTACTTTCGTGTTCAATATGTCATGTTGATTTTGAGTCACAATTAATTGGAATACGGAATCGAGAATGAACAGTTCTACCTCCAACCATTAGCAAAGCTACAATGCCATACGAAGCAATCCACAACACTACTTTTTTTTCCTGGTCGTAGCCTCAAACCAATAACCTTCCAAATAAATATTTTCCACGTACCTTAAAATCCATCAACAAAAAAGCGGTTTCGATTTTCTTGCTCCACATCCCGAATAATTTCAACGAATGCCTTCATTTTCTCTGAATCAATTTTGGTTACAGCGTATTTACTTCTTTAGTAAATCTTATGGATTGTAATTTAACCAAGGATTAAAATACCGTACCGTACCGGCGGTTCGACCGGAAAAACCTCCTACCTGAAGTAAAACCGGTAAGCGGTATTTAGCGGTATAATACGGTTGAACAATGGTTAAACCACGGTTTTAACATAAAATACCCTATCGCTAACTTTTCCTGTACGACCTCTGGTACGGTATATAAATCCTTGAATTTAACTTCTCAGCTATCATTCGATTTCGAGAATGTAATCTCATAGCTCCATATGGAATATGCGTAGAGGTTTCCAAACTTTATGCAATAGTTTATCTATATCTATTGAGTATATATGTTTGATCACATCAGTAAAAAGTTACAAATTGGATAAATTTAACTATCTCCTTCAATTGAACGTGATATCATCACTCAATAATTCCCAATTTCTCCTTTAAAAGATTGCACATCAGACATTTGATAGTGATTAAGAATTGTGACAAATAGATTCATTACTTTATATCTAGAACCACAAAAGGCAATTTCCTTCAGGAAGTCACTTCACTCATCACCTGCCAATAACCTAAGAGCAAAAGCATTTTTTTGAAAGGAATCATGTACTCCACCATTAATTGTTCTAATTTCTCAATAAGATGACAACCTCTAACTAAATGCAGCGACTTGCGAGCATAAAATACAATCTTCCAATACACACCTTTTTCTTTCTCATCTGGCGCATTCTCAATTTTTGGTCCATATAAAATATTGAGGGAACTCCACAAAGAGTATTTGTACGCCTTATAAGAATGAGCATTGATTTTCATCCATGGCAATAATATTCATATTTTTTTATGATAGTATTTTCAGTTGTTTGGTTCTCCTTCATTATTACTTTATTCTCCTTATGCTCGTGACATACGCAACATAGAAGGTGAACTACATCTACCATCAAACTTAAACATTCTCCGACATGCTTCCCCTGATGTTAATGGCGACTGTCTAGAAATGCTTTAATCTCATCAATACAAACGCAAGATGCTGAGATTTTTTTCAATGGCGTTGGGGTTGTGTTTCATTATCACCTAGTACTTTAACATACTTGAACAAATACTTGATAGCACAAAATAAAATAGTAATTTAATCATATAACTCGAAACATTCAAATAATGCAATAATAAAGTAATAAATAATGCACTAATAATTCAATGCATTGTTTTTGTAATTTCATTTGTGAATTTTATTGCTACCTCAACTTTTTTGCAATCAAACTTACATTACTTTCATTCGCATAACTTGCAATTGCATATGTGAGTCCAATTTATTTTTTTAATAAAGTAAAAAAAGGAAGAAAAACCCAATAAAAAAGTTATGGATGTCTACCTCAGAATTGCAAATGGAATTGTATAAAATGGTAGCTTGCATTATTGCAATTGACACTTCCATCAATGCAATTAAAAGTGCAATTGCATTTCTATTGCCATGTCACTACTTTGCAATTCAATGTGGTAGAATGATGTGGATGCACTAATTCTAACCCATGAGAATATAGTTAATCGTATAACAGCTTGATACTGTATGAGAATATATTAAATACTTCGTTACAATGATAATACCAACAACGGATGGAAAAATGGGAAATATTTCTAGAGAAAAAACAAACTGTCAGGAGACATCATCATAGTCTCAAAGATGTTTAAAAAGAATGACGCCTCGTCAAATTATTTGCTTACAACAGCATATTCAAATCCTCTAGATCGCTGCCTTCGAGGGGTGAGGTTCACAAAACACATCACCCTGAGATTATTGCAAAGACTATCAGCAAGTTTGATGGACGTTAACAATCGATTTTTTTTGAGTTCGTATGTATTTCCCTAAATAACACGTGGGATTGACAGATATATAATGGTAAGATGTCTAGCATTATGAAATAAAAACACATGTACTTACATTTAATTTTTTATGATTGAATTGAAATACTATTTGATTGTTTGGATGACTCACCGCATGATCTTGGAAATATCAAACTAAAAAAATAAACACAAATAATAATACATAAATAATATGCACCTTTGACTAACCAACCCATAATCTTGGATAGTTAAGTAACCATCCTATTAATATTCTCATGCTAGTATAATAATATAAAAATCATATGCATATTTTTTTTTTTTGACAAAAGATAATCATATTGATTGAAAGAGAAAATATTACATCCTGGATACCAGCCAGGCCTGGAAATCATAAGAACAACTAGGAGTCGGAAACAAAGCCAGGGCTTTCCTAGCCACTAAATGGGCTACCCTATTGTTACTCCGACCTACAAAACGAACTTGAAGCGCACTATGATTTGTGAACATTCCGACGATCTCTTCCAACACTGCCCCAATTTGCACATCATGCACATCCCTAGCAGCCACCTTATCGATGATAATCTGGGCGTCTCCCTGGAAACAAACCTCCTGAAAGCCCAATTCCAGGCACCACGTCACTGCATCCCGAAGGGTGAGCACCTCAGCCACCAAAGGATTATCAAGGTCCAGAAACTACACACCACGGGCTAACAGAATATTACCTTCAAGATCATTAAGCACAATCCCTCCCGCCGCATGTGAACCAGACTTGGTCGCACCATCCCACATACAGGTCACCGATGACATCATAGCAGTCTGCCCCGGAGGCGGAATTGGAAAATGCAAGCCAAGCTCTGGGTCCAGCGGGAGTCTTATCCACTCTTGGACCTGTTGATGGTACTGTCGCAGAAGAACCGGTAACCCAAACTGTTTCCCTTCAAAAACTACCCAATTACGTGAACGCCAAATACGCCAAAGGAGGGCAGCCACAGCCATAAACACCAGGGGCTGGTTAATCCTGGACAGCAATTGCTTCAGGAACATGGGGAAGGTGTGTCTTGACAGCCCTATCCCTAAATATTCCAACCCAGCCTGACCCCAAAGAGTCTGGGCAACCCGACAATCAAAGAAAAGATGTTCCAACGTCTCCTTTGCCGCCCAGCAGACCGGACACCGAGGCTGGACCTCAGCCCCTTTCTCAATCAACGCTTCAGTAGTCGGAAGGATACGACAGAACACTTGCCAAATGAAAACTTTCAACTTAGGGGGAATCGGGGCATTCCACAAGCGGACCCAACTCGTCTTATCCATCCAGCTAACATCGGACCTCCACCGCCCCTCCTGCTTATCAATCAAAACAGCGAGATGGTAAGCCGATTTCACTAAAAGATTCCATCAGCAGTCATATGCCAGATAAGCCTATCCTCAACATTCTGCCGAGGAAGGGGAATAGCCTTAATTGCACGACACACGACTGGGTCAAACCACTGCTGGAGCTTATCATCACACCACCTGCCTTCGCCTGGGCAGAGGACCACCTCCACCTTCGGATCCCCCCCTCAGGCACGATCATAGGATTATAAGTCGGACATATTTGGTTGACGGTTAAATGAATAACTCGTTAAACAGTAAACGGTCGACTTAGTAGCCAAATTTAGCTAATTAATAACCAATGGTTAAACAGTTATAACCGGCAGTTAACTGACTAACTGATTATGACCATCCTCATAGTGAGGAAAAAATAATAGGCTTCAATGAACCACATGCATAGGCCAAAAAATGGGATGTTTTGGACTTACCACATAGCTCGACAACAATCGGTAACATTTAACCTTCCATGTAAATTGACCGGGGTTCATGGGTTGAGTAATTGTTGCTGGGTCTCTTATTTTTTCTACTTCTTTAATCAAATTTGACGGTAGAATGGTGTTAGTGTTACTTGTGTTGGATTGAGTTTAGTATGGATTGATATATATGTTAAATTATTTTTTATACAATGATAACAACTTAGAAAAGAACACATACAAATACGGTTAATCGAAAAATTAATTGAGAATCGACAATACGAATAAAGTTATCCGGTTAATAAAAAACGTAATAAGTGTATAATTGTTTTTTATACAATTATTTTTTAAACTTACTAAACCACTTGCTTAACGGTAATCCGGTTAATCAAAAAACTAATCGAGAACCGACAATACGAATACGGTTAACCAACTAATATAAATGATGCAATTAATGATAAGTACAAAGTAGTTAACAGTTAACCAAAAACTAACTAAACGGTTCCAATAATAACCGAACGGAACTAATTGCCAGCCCGATAAATACCTGGAGAACACCAAATATGTCTCATACTGCCTCACAAGCTGCATTTCCTGAAGAAGAAATCCCTTCTGCTCTTGATGTCATTACACAAGAGTTCAAAATCAACAAAGAATTTCTTCGCCATGATTTCTATTCCCAACGAAACCATTTTAAACGCGAGCAATATTTTACTGATTACTCTAAAGAAGAACGTGTACTTATACAAAACTCTTTCTATGATTATCTCAATAACATACGAGAACACCATTCTTTCTTTAATTGGTTCGAACAAGTCTTTTCTCAATCTTCGATAAATGTTCAAACCAAGCCTATGACTTGGTTAACTACTAATAACTCTAAGATCCAATCTATTTACCCCCCTAATGCTCCTGTTAATTTTTCTTATTATAGAACAGCAGTTCAAGCCTCTCCTTTTAAATTAAAACGAGAAAATAGTGACCATGTCCAAGGAGAAGATATTCGACGTCTGATTGAACAAAATAATTATACAAACCGATTTCTTCAGACCTTAGGAGATCAACTTACTAATGTTGAAATCAGTTTATCTCTGTCTTTTGCATCTACTTCAAATACTCCTATTCCTCCTTCCAACAAACTTAATTCCCCCATTTTCAAACCTTTTGAAGTTTCTAAAGAATCTAGTCTTGAATTTAATCTTGAAATAGAAAAACGTCTTAAACAACTTTCTACACAACTATCCACTTCTAAGACTCCTTATATTTCAGACTCAAAATCCACGAGCAACGAGGATCAAATCATCGATGACTTAGCCGAAGTAATTCACGATCTAGAAGGTCATATTGAAACAGAAATCAATCGTCTCCGATGGAACCAACCCTTTGCATCTAAGATGTATTACCCACGTCCCACAGCACCTGATTTAGCTCTCGAAGAGAAATCCACCATTATCCAAAATAAATACAACTCCAATTCTATTTATGAATGGAATCTTGATGGATTTTTAGAATATCAAATTTTGAACCTTCTTCAACAAATGACCATGGTAGCTAATGCTTACAAAACTCAAAATCAAACTTCTGATTACGCTATAGCTGAACTACTTATAATCGGCATTGCTGGTCAATTAAAGGGTTGGTGGGATAATATCTTAACCGCGGAAGACCAGAGAACTATTTTTACAGCTGTCAAATGTGATTCTTCTGGAACTCCTATTTTAGACTCCAATAATCAATCTTCTCAAGATGCAGTTGCATCCCTGATTTTTGCCATTTCAAAACATTTTATTGGAGATCCTTCACATCTTAAAGATAAAATTATTGTAAAAAGTTTCATGACTTCCGATGGTACAAAGATACTTTTTAACTAGGGTTATGCAAAGAGAAGATGGTAATCAACCATTTTGGAAAGAAAAGTTTTTAGCTGGTTTACCCCGTCCCTTAGGAGATAAAATCCGAAACAAAATCCAAGACACTTTTAATGGTCAAATTCCTTATGACCAACTTACTTACGGAGAACTTATTAGCTTTATACAAAAAGAAGGATTACAAATTTGCCATGATTTAAAACTTCAAAAACAAATCAAACGCGACAAAAACTAACTCAAAAAGAACTAGGATCTTTTTGTGCTCAGTTTGATGAATCTTATTCAAAAATTTCTTCCAAATCTAACTGTGAGGATTGTAGCACCAAACCTCATCAAAAACATTGTGATCGTCCCTACCGATATTTTAAAACCACGAATCAAAAATCTCATTTCTCTAGGAATCCCCGCCCAGATAAGGGACCACGATCTAACAATGAAAATAAAAACATTACTTGTTTTCGTTGTGGAAAAACAGGTCATATCTCCAAATATTGTCGTATAAAAAAGAAGCTCAATGAGCTTAATCTTGATGAAGAGATTCATGACAAAATCAATAATCTTTTTCTCCAACACTACTCTTCTCATGAGGATTCTTCTTCTTCTTCTTCTTCTTCTGATGATGATGATGATGATGATGAGAATCTTCATGCCTTACAATTTGATGACATCAATGAAAGTTCTGAATCTTCTATCAATGTTTTAACCAAAGATCAAGAGCTTATCTTAGATCTAATCAATAATATTGATAATCCTCATCTCAAAGAAAAATATTTCAAAAAGCTTCATGAGCACATGGAGAAACCTCCTGTGACTATTCCACCTACCAATCCCTTTCATCAAGGTTCGACGTATAGTGTCAAAGACATCCTTTCTCGACATAGTAATAACGATTCCCACAATCCTTCTATTCCTGACTTCCAAAAGGAATTGGATATTGTTAAGAAAGAAATTCAACAATTACGACAGTTACAAAATAGTGATCATGAGATATTACAAACTTTAATAGCTCTCAAACCTTTAGAAGAGGCATCAACATCTAGCCCCGACAACTTTTTCGATGAAACTCCTCATGCAACCAACAGTTTAGAAACAGAGGAAATGCTAACTGATGACGATTTTCTATGTTTTTTATCTACCATTACTACCCAAAACTGGTATGTTATCATTAATATTCAGGTTTCTTCTGATTTTATTTTAAGCATAGTGGCCCTTCTTGATACAGGAGCAGACATGAACTGCATCCAAGAAGGAATAATTCCAACTAAGTACTATGAAAAGACCCTCGAGCGTCTATCTACCGCTAACTCTCAACCTCTTCAAATACAATATAAACTTTCTAATGCTTTAATTTGTCATCAAAATGTTGAATTCAAAACTCCTTTTATCCTAGTTCGTGACATGCAACAAAAGGTGATCTTAGGGACACCTTTTCTAAATCTTCTAAAACCTTTTACCGTCACCGTTCAAGGAATTAACACTGTTGTGTTAGGCAACAATGTTGAATTCTCATTTCTCCAAAAACCAAAAGTTCGAAACCTAAATGTTTTACGACGTTCTTCTATAAAATATATACACCATATAATTCGTTGTAAAACTAATCAAATATCTTATTTGCATGATGAGATACATTTTCAGCGAATCTTACAACAGTTTTCTCAACCCCTTTTGCAAAAACGAATCAACTCTTTAAAAGAGCATATTGAAAGCTCTATTTGTGCTGATACACCCAATGCTTTTTGGCATAAAAAACAACATCAGGTTGATCTTCCTTATGAAAAAGATTTCAATGAAAATCTCATTCCCACCAAGGCTAGGCCTATCCAAATGAATTCGGACCTTGAAAAACATTGTCAACAAGAAATTAAAGAATTGCTCAAAAAGGGCCTTATCAGATCTAGCTAATCCCCTTGGAGTTGTTCTGCTTTCTATGTCATTAATAATGCAGAAAAGGAACGTGGCGTTCCTCGTCTTTTTATAAACTACAAACCGTTGAATAAGGCTCTGAAATGGATTAGGTATCCTATCCCCAACCAAAAGGATCTACTCCAGAAACTTTCACAGTCCCTAATATTTTCTAAATTTGACATGAAATCCGGATTTTGGCAAATCCAAATCAAAGAAACAGACCGATATAAAACTGCTTTTACCGTTCCCTTTGGCCAATATGAATGGAACGTCATGCCGTTTGGTTTGAAAAATGCTCCCTCATAATTTCAAAGAATTATGAATCAAATCTACTCTCCTTATTTTGATTTCATAATAGTTTATATTGATGATGTGCTGGTTTTTTCTTCGTCCATTGACCAACATTTCAAACATCTTAATCTATTTCTTGAAGTCACTCGACGTAACAGTCTGGCCGTCTCTGAACCAAAACTTTGTCTTTTTCAAACTAAGATACGTTTTTTGGGTCACTACATTAGTCAAGGAACAATTGTTCCAATCGAAAGATCGCTTCAATTTGCAGATAAATTTCCTGATCAAATTTTAGACAAAAATCAATTGCAACGGTTCCTGGGTAGTTTAAACTATGTCCTTGACTTTTATCCCAACATCAATCTTCTTTGTAAACCTCTCCATGATAGATTGAAAAAGAGCCCCCTCCCTGGAGTGACCAGCATACCAAAATAGTTCAGCAAATTAAGAGGCAGGTTCAGAGTCTCCCGTGTCTTCACATAAGTGATCCTTTTCTCCCTAAAATCGTCGAAACCGATGCCTCTGACCTAGGATATGGAGGAATCCTTAAGCAGATTCAGAATGATAAGGAGTTGTTGGTACACTTTACTTCTAAATGTTCTGATGATTCTGGTTCACACTCAAGTTCATCCAAAGCTTTAATCAATATTGATAAGCTTCCTCTTGAAGACCAAAATTACCTTCAAAAATTTATTGCTGTTTCTGGTTCTAAACAAAAGCTTCCCACTAAAGCTTCAACTTCCTCAATAATTTCCCCTTCTAAACTAATTCTTTCAAATACTCAAACGCCAAGTGGCATCCTACCCACACCCATCTCTTCCGAAGAA